ATGCCGTAAACGGTCAAAAACGTAACTTTATACGCTACGCAACGATACTACAGCACACTCATAAACACGGTTCAGGTTAAGGAGCTGGGGCAGCGCCGTATGCGCGCACCTCCAGGTGCAGCCGCTCCTAGGCCACGCCCCCCAGCCACCGTAACCCCAGGCCGGGGGTTGGCCAAGGTGTCGGGCGTCTTTTGGTCGTTTCCGGAGTCGTAGATGGGGGGCTTTTCAGAATTTTCGGATAGTAAAATCTTATTTTAAAACCCTGGGCAAAAATTTTTCTAAACAGGCTTCGCCCGCCCTTTAAAAACCAAAATCTAGAACTAAAATCGATTCGCACTAAAATAGGAAGATTTATATGGTCAAAACGTAGAACAGTAAATCGTAAAAAAACCACAAAAATAGTTTTTCGGGGTTTCTATCCTTGGCCAAATGGTAGTGTTCTTGTTTCCCAGGAAAACAGCCCGGGCTCGACCCCCGCCTGATGCAGGATCGGCTTTTTGCTTTTTGAGAAGCCTATTAGTATTATTGATAAGGCCTAGAATCAATAAAAAATTTATTAAAACACTTGAAAAAACTTTATCTCGGTATTCCCATCCTGGCTAAATGGTTGTGTTCTCGTTTCCCAGGAAAACAGCGCGGGTTCGATCCCGCTGAGAACAGATCTCTTTCTTTTTCGAGGAATTCATTAGGATTAACTATAAAGTTCTAGAACAATAACAAAAACCCTAAAAACAGGAAAAGTCTCTCTCGCCTTGGCTAAATGGTTGTGCTCACGTTTCCCAGGGAAACAGTCCGGGTTCGACCCCCGCCCGGGGCAGAATTTTTCCTTTTTGCTCAATTCAGGAAACTATATAAAACTAACCGCTAAATACCTTCAAACCAGCCATCCCTGACCAGACAGCCTGCCCCATTGGCTAATCAGCGGATTTGCCCCCCGGGCCCTCAGGATTTGCGCGTGTTGGCACTTGGCGCCCAGGCGTCAATGTGTTGACATGACCCGGTAGGGCCATTAATGATGGGCACCTGGTCTACCCCTCAGAGGGCCCACTTCTCCCGTCTCCAGTGGACGGTGGAGGAGTGGATGGTGGTAGTGGACTTCTCGCCTTGTATGCCAACAAAAGGCCCACAACACGCCTACAAATAGCAGGTACTGGACTTTTAGCGGGGGGGGGTTAACGAAGGACAGCTAATCTATTTCTTCGAGCCAGAGTCAAGCTGAAGCCTAAGCCTAAGCGGAAGCGCTTCGGGGGACGGCTAATTTATATTTTCAAGCTTAAGCCTAAGCCTAGCTTAAGCCAAAGCCTAGCTTAAGCCTAATCCTAATCCTAAGCCTAAGCTAAGCCTAAGCCGAAGCCCGAGGATAATCCTAAGCCTAAGCTTAAGCCTGTACCTAAGCCCAACCCTAAGCTAAGCCTAAGCTAAGCTTGAGCTTGAGCCTAATCTTAAGCTAAATCTAAGCCGAATCCTAAGCCTAAATCTAAGCCTTTATTGTGACCGGAATTCTTTATTTAATCACGTAAATAATGTTTAACAGAACAAACCAAAAAACTTGGGCTTCAACGCCCATCCACCTTCCGATTATGCGCATCCGCAAACAAATTGGGCAGCGAAGACGAGGGCTTCGGACAGCTGTCCGTTCGGCTCGTCAGCAAGTCATGTCGGAGATGATCTAGTGCCTAGATGAGGAGGGGGATATAGTCTCGAGGGGGTATCGCTTTAGGGACCTCGCATCCCTTACCCAACCCCATATAGTGACCGACGATGCGTGAAGGCCGGTCAGCAAGATTGTTGCCCCCACCCGGGAGATTCTCCCTTATAATCAGATTGTTGCGTTTTAGCGGCTGTGCGGGTGGGCTAAAGGCAAAAAGGTGCCGATTGGAGGGCGAGTGTTCGGGTGAATGAGGCGATAATGCTCGCGCGCAGCTGTGAGCTCGAGAAAATACCGATTAGCGAGTGCGAGGGGCGAGATTGTCCGTTTTTGGCTGCTGAATCCTGGAAAAACTAATTGTTTCTAGGGTTTTCAAGAGTATTTCAGAATCTCGAATTTCATAATGCCGACATCGAATGTCAAATTCCCATTTTAAAAATGTCGAAATTTCATAATGCCGAAATTCAAATGACGACATTTCAGTAAGTCGAAATTTAGATCAGCAAATTTCCCGAAAAACGCCCGAATCCAATGCAAAAAATGTCGGCATCTTGAAATGACGACATTCTGTAATTGAGATATTATGAATTTCGACATATTGAGACCAAATCGGTCCAGTTTGACCTAGTAAGCAAGTACAAAGTGTTTTATACTGTTTTTTAGTAAAATTTAGCTAAATTTGAGGCTAAAAAAATGTCTAAAAATTAGAAAAATTTCTGGAATGTTCAAATTTTAGCCATTTCAGGTGTAGAAAATCGATTTTTCGCCGCCCTAAAAATTTTTTTGGTTTATGAAGTTTTTATGTTTTGGAATGGCTAAAAAATGTATAAAAATAGTTACAGAAAATTAAAAATCGATTTATATAAAAAATACGCATTCACCTAAAAAAGTTCGTACCCGATCTTTCGACAATTTTTCGATTTTTATCAACTTCCGGTCACGACCGTTTTAACACTACAGTACCACCAAAGTCTTGCCGAAATTCAATAAAAACGTAAACTCAGAAACCGCGTCCCCACCATGGTCGGGGCTTGGGCTTACTCCCGCCCGTCGGCGCCATACGAAGAGCTTAGGGCATTTTGGTAAAGCCCCAGGGGCGAGGGTCGCAGATCTCGGGCCCAAATAGGTGGGAAATTCATTGGATTTGCGGGCCCGAAAGATGATAATTAGAGGGCCCGGAAGGGGGGTTGTGGGGGGGGAGGAACATACGGTACCGCTCTTCCCCGACCAAATCGACTGGAAAATCCAGCGATGACCTCAAGCTGGCCCACGGTGCCGCCCGCCCTGATCGAAGGTATCAATTGGCCAACAGGATTTGGGGGATCAGGGCGAAAGGTAAATATAAAGCGGTTAAAACCGGCGGCCTTCGAAGAAATACTGGATCTTTGGCAATATCGGGGGGGGGCTAATTTCTAGAATTTTACAGTTCTTTCGCATTATCGGGAGACCAATTTTTCCCTAAAATCCCATTTTTTAAATAAATGTATCGTAAGTGTATCTAAGCTGTTTTTTACCATCCCTAAACGTTAAAAACCTTACAAATTTTTATCCTACTATATATAAAAAAATAGTGTTTGTGTGTGTGTGTGTGTGTGCCACTTTGCATACAACTTCCGTCAGGGTGTCCGGAGGATATCTCAAAGGGGGAAGGGTATTAGGATACGTATGATACGTCATTAGGTGCGTAATGCCCCCGATATGACTGCACGCTTATCAGATTTTGCAAATTATGCTATTTTCGACATTAAAAATCAATTTTTGTTAAAAAACGGGCAGTCTCTTTGTTAGGAATTAATTAGCATAAGCCGGAAGTGGCGGCAGCCTATATAACGGCGGGGAGGGTGCATTTTTCATTATTTCTCATCGAAATTCGGCCGAGGGATGCAATGTGCAGAATATTATGAGCTCAGACGGGGCCAGGGTTGAAAAGTCGCGAAGCGGCTTTTCAACCCTGGTTAAAGATAAAAAATAGAAGTTTTTCAACCAAAACTGGTAGTTTCTCTGACCGAAATGTCGATTTTTTTTTAAACTTTTGGAACTTTTTATAGTTGCAATATCTTTTTATTTGACTAAAAACACCATCAAAATATTTTCTATTAAGTTAATAGGTATTTCTTACACGTATACGCAAAATTCGCCCCCACCCGATAATGGGAAAGAACCGTTTTTACAAGTTTTAAAATTGCCATAGCCTTCATTATGGTCAAATGCCTGAAATTTGAAGGGGAAAAAATAGAGGAAACCCAAATTTTCGACCAAAATTTCAATTTTTAAATTCTTTCCGCGTTTTCTAAGTCATTTTTCCACTTGAAATATAGCCTAGTTTATAACACAAAAAACTTTTAAAATACTTCCTATTACATTACTACTAAATGCTGTTTATTTCAATTTTCGGTATTTCGAAAGCACCTAATTACTAAACTAAGAAATGCCCTCTTGCAAACGGATATTCCGGACCCCCATGACGCACCGTAGGCCCTGTAGCTCAAGTAGTGCTCGATGTCCACCGAATTTAGCGACAAATCTCTGCTTTGTCTATGGAGTGGGTAAACGACTCTTGGCTCCACGACGCAATATTTTGGACACAATGGTGAGAGGGTGCTAACAAGACGCGATGGCTGAATCGTGTTAGCCCGCATCGAGCACTACTTGAGCTACAGGGCCGACGGTGCGTCATGGGGGTCCGGAATATCCGTTTTTACGTGTTTATCTTGCAGGAACCTAAAAGGTGTGGAAGCAAAGAGGCCGATACCTTTAACGGGGCTTCCAGCCGTTCGTCTTCCGGCCGCTGTGCCCACTGCAGCGCCACACAATAGGTGGCAGAAAGGTGTCATCCTTTGAATCTGTCCGCTGCCAATGGATTGCCATTGCCACCGAAAGGCAGATTGTTGTTTTATTGTATAAAAAAGGGTACTGTTCGGTTTAGCCGGGGAAAAATTGCTATGCCTGTACATAGTTTTCGAATTCTTTCAACGCCATTCGATAAAGCATCCAAAAATACCCCTGAAAAATTTTTATTTCAGCTCCAAATAATGTAATCTAAAATAGTTATAGTAAAAACAAAAATAGCGTTTCAAAAACGAAGTTGATGCAACATTTTTCGGGATTTCGACGTTTTTCGGGATTCTTTCGACACTATTCGATAAAGCGTTTAAAAATTCACTAGGAGTTTTTTGTTCAGCTCCAAATAGTAGAATCTAAAATAGTTGTAGCAAAAACCAACATACGGTACGAAAACGGAGTTGGTAAACTAGTTTTAGGCATCTCGCCATCGCAAATAGAACCCCCGCAACAATACCAAATATGCGTATATCATCATCCAGCTGAAGCGTGCCAGCGCTTCCTCCAAAACATGCAGGAGAAGAAGGAGATCATCCCTTTCCGCCACTTCAACCACTGCGTTGGTCGCAAGGCCCAAGCGAAAACCTTCGGCGTTGTCCAAGGACGTTGGCCCGTGAAATCCTGCGAATTCATCTTGCAGCTGTTGAGGTATGCTTTTTATAGTAACACGGCTAGTTTTGTGATGCGTAGGCCAAAAATTGCGTTACGTAAGCAGATCCTGTCTTGCTTTTTTAAAAATAAGAGCCGTTTTTGCCTACCATTTTGAGCGTTTGAACTGTGCCACAGTAATTGCTACGTACGTTCCTTTCTTTTTTAAAACAAACTTTTTTGCCCAGTCACTATTTTGTGCACTTGAAACTGCGTCGCATTGCCCTCTGTTGTCGCCAATATTAATGTTTGTTTTACAGAAATGCGGAAAGCAATGCTGACTACAAAGGCCTGGACACCGATGTAGGTCATATCGGGATGCTTTGGACTGCGATGCAAGTCGTCAATGATGCGCAGAGGTGCAATTAACGCTGCCTATGGATTTATGGGCAGAAGTGATCTTGCATTTGCATCAGCCCTGCCCCAGCCCGACTTTCGATCTTTACCTCCGCCATTTCCGACCTGTCACGAAAACCTACCCGATTCTAGCGGCTTCTTGGTGAAGTCTCTATTAGTCCAGCCACCATCGACTTGAGGGGGATTCTTTTCAGAAGGCATGCCGGACAACTTTGCGGTAGCGCAACTACCATCGCTGTTATGGAGGAAAGTTTACGGCAAGATGAATCCCGACGAAAAGTATCGTTTTCGGGGCGTTAATAGGGTATGCTAATGGCCGTCTTTCTGCAATCGTTAGGTATTTAGGCTCTCTTGGGAAACGTTTCCCCACTATGCATAATGTCTGGACCAGTTGCATCTATGCGGATTCAGCGAACCACGGTAACACCCTTATGGTTTATCAGTAATAACATTCAAAATGTCAAGATCTGGACCACGAATATCGTCGTGAGCAAGGATATCGAATTGAGCATTATCTACAAGTGGCATCCGCAGCCGTCAATACATTTGAAATGGCAGAATAAGGCAACAAGCGAAACCCGGTGAGTTTTAAAGCGGAGACAACCCAGATCCAAAAACCATTGTATTTTTTTTTTGCTTTCAGGAAATTCATTTACAAAAACGCAGACCTGAAGGGGTGGTTGAAACTTCTGGAGAGACTGAGACCAGCATCGTTTGCAATCACCGTTGCTGCAGGATTGAGCAAGGTTGAAGAGCGAGAAGAATTTTATGACATATTGCCTGCGCTTCCGCAGTCTCCTTGGCGGGCAATTTTCCCCCGGTGCGAAACAATCGAGGTGGTTGTTCCTTTTCTAACCTTATCGTTTTTTCTAGCCGATCTTTTATCCCCTTATTAAGCTTTGATTACAGGATAATATTGCGCAAGTGCGGACGATCCGAAGTCGTCTCAATGGCGCACCTGATATGGTAAGTAAGCCTGAAGTACCCTTACAAAAACTAGCGGCATTCAAGTCGGAAGATTGCCAGGCTGAGTTTTGATTTTTTTTTGCCAGCGCGCTGGCTTCAGAGAAAAAACATATTTGCAGTGGGGAAGCGATTGTGACGTCAACGACAGTTCGAAAGTACGCTATCTGGAATGGGTCGAATCTGTATGTATCCGACTTTTATTTGAAGTTATCTTCCAATCTTTACGCCGCCGTGCCTTTAACAATTTTTAAGCTGGCTGACCTACCCAGTATCGGGCTCAGGGTGTTTATCAGTCGACGTGGCCAGATCGAGACGGTTTTCAATATTTTCGAAGCGATCCTACAGCTCCTCATTCAAAAGGTGCGAATCGAGACATTTCTCCTCACCCATTACAGCTTCCACCTCAGGGGAATCGGCCTAGAACTTTCATTATGTATTTCCAACTATGTAATGAATATCGTCATGATACCTGCCAACAGGTCAGCTTTTGGCTATTTTAAAGCGATCTGAAAACTACGGTCTCGAGGCGCTCATATCTGGGGCAAAATTATAGCAACCAGAGAGCGTACTTTACGGGCTGTCAAGTCGAAGTCGGGTACGAAAGAATTCATTTCAGTGGGCAGATGATCGAATATTTTCTGCCAGGTTGAAGGAGACAATGGCGTCTGTGGATTTACCAGAAGGAGCGACACTCTTCGAAAATTTTTCACCGCCTCCTAAAATGGTAGGTTACTAGGATATAACAAATTCCGTCAAGAACTACGAATCTGGATGTTTTCAGGAACAAAGAATTTTCGTTTTGGCGCAGGGAGGTAAGGCGAAATCCAAGGAATTTTGGAAGTCGTGGCTGCGCTCGCACTTTGGAGACGCAATGGGCGTCACGACGAACGTTTTCAACGGCGTCGACGACGACGGAACGCAAAGTTATTGATGTCGACTGTGCAATTCTCGATAGCATACGTTACTACAAAACTTTGAATAAAAGAATTGTTAAAGGACGCCAAACATTTTTGCTCAATATTTAGACAAACATTGAGAAACAGTAACCTTTCAGACACAGTTAAAGGGATGCCGACGGCATAGACAATCGATTACGCGCGGAAAGAAAATGTCTCTGCGCCTCTCCCCGGGGCGCGCTCTCTGCCCTGTTGGCTACTTGCCAATTTGTTGATGAGGGGGGATCGACACATGCCGTCGGCAGCCCTTTAATAAACGCACTGTCGCCATGCCAAATAAATTGTGCGAAATCATCGAAGATCTATATAATTCCTCGATTTGACCTAGCAAACGGCACCTAGGGCTATTTTTGCAGGCGGCAAGTGGCCGGTCGTGCCGCCCGCCATTTCCTTGCTACTCGATCATCCTAGTTTTCAACAGCCCTGCTAAACACTAAAACCAATTTTTAAAAGCCTAGCCTAGTAGTAAACTGAGCAGGCTTTAATATAGCTTAATTTTATTCGTTTTCGCTCAGAAACCTTACCTTCTGGCTTTAATTTCAGGAAAATGTTGGACAAGTTTCCAGTGCAAGAGCTACCCTTACTGTCATTGAGAGAAATCTATTGCAAGATGAATCCCCATGCAAAGTATCGTTTGCGGGCCGTTAATAAGGTATGGGTAAAATTGGAGCAGAGATTTTCGTATTTTTAAGGCATTGTTCGCACGGGCTTCGCGCTCCATTCCAATGATGTCTGGGCCGGTGCCTTCAATGGAGTTGAAGCGAACACAGGTACCGAAATTCGAATTGCCAAAAATTTTTGCAGACATGGCGTGCAGTCATCGAAATCGAGCCAGGGGTCTTATTCATCATCGAATACAGTTGGCACCCCAAACCCTCGATCCTACTCAGAGTCAAACATAAGATGAAGAAAGCTCGGTGAGTTTTCGCGCGTTCTGGGGATTTTTGCCAAAATAGAATTTTTTGCGGTTCCGGTTACTGTTTTTCATCTAGAAAAACTTTTTAAAAACCCAAAAAATCGGTCAAAAACGGCCACTTTTGGTCAAAAAAATTTATGTTTTTTGTATATTTAACCAGAAATTGTAAAGTTCTTACGTTTAGGAATAGTAAAGCACAGTCTAGAAACACTGCTATTTAGACCTCCCGAACCCCCCATATACCCCCTTTACCCCATTTACCCCCAAAAAACCCCTCCCAACCCCTCCAACCCCCAAAACCCCCTGCCCAACCCCATTACCCCCTGCCCACCCCAAACCCCTACCCAACCCCTCCAACCCCTAAGTAGGGGGAAAGGGGGTTCGGGAGGCACATATTATTTTAAAAAATTGGACCTGAAGAAATTTGTTGGCCCCCCGATAATGCAAAAGTGCAGCCCATCGGATAAATTTAAGGGAGAGGGATTTTTGAGGTTCGGTATAGAACCATTTTCGCTTCCAGGGACTTCACGATGAATGGTGCGGATTTGGAGACATGGTTCAGGCTCATCGAGAAGCTTAAAGCCAAAAACCAGAGGTTCTGTTTTTTCGCGCATCGCTGGGGCGACCTGGATCAAAATGGATTTTCCTCCGTCATCACTAAACTTCCGAATGCTCAACGCCGCTCAGTGCACATTTCTAGCAACAGATTCCAGGTACTTCAACATATTATTTCAGCGCGCCGACATTCAAACGGAAAATTACGGTGATTTCAGATGAGCATCACGCGTATGACGAGCATCTTGACTAGCCTCCGCCAGAGGCCCGACTTTGTAAGAATTTCATTTTTTTGCAGTGGTTTTTGCCGTGGTACGATGATGGAATAGACTATTTAATCTTGAAACAGTTCCATATTCCTTCAGAACGGGAAGGCGTTGTCAGAGTGGTCTGACATTTTTGGTTACGACAACTCTCCAATCCCTGACTTTCTACATTGGGCCGAAAAGGTACCGCACTCAGATTCAGCCGGTGCCCGGCTCAAACTGGCTGCTTTCTATGGCTTCTATCTTGTTTTAGTTCGTTGGGTTGCCCGTACTGGGGCTGGTGCCCTATATTCATCATCGATCTCAGATCGTGCCACTGCTGGATGTCCTTAAAGAGCTCCTCGCATTTTGCATCTACAAGGTACGGTTTTCGGCTCAGAAGACCGAGGTCTTGCTCTCGGAGAATTGTCTCATCTTTTCAGCATCCACCTCAAGGAGGACAAACTAGGATTTTCCTGATGGTTTTCGATCTAACACAGGTCTATGAACTTTCACAACAGGTCCAGGTTCGTTGGTTTCACCAGGATGTTGGCTAGGTTTTGATCTGATCCCCTTCAGGAAGCTCTTCATCGTCAATTTTCGAAAACACTGGAAGAAATCGTCGAATCCGTACGGTTGCCGGATGGCACGATGCTTTTCGACAATTATTCAGCACCTCCGATGATGGTAGGTTCCCAGAATAAGCAGAACGAATAGTTCCCGAAGAAAAATCTGAAACTGAAATGAAAACCTGAAATCAAACAGTAATTTTTCAGCACCGAAGAATTTATGTTTTGACGCAGGGATTTGATGGGAATCCGGAGGAATTGAGTGAGAAGACGTTGCGACCGATCTTTCGACGAAAGTGGGGAACGAAGTCGAAGCTTTTCAAGGCCAACGAACGGCCTTTAACCTTTGTGACTCGGGAAGAATGAATGTTGGCGTTCAATGTATCCAGCATTAACAATTATTCCGAAATAAACTTTAAAAAATAGCACGGCGGATCGGTTTTTAGATAAAAAGCAAGGCACTTTGCACGCAGAAGAGAACGCGGAGCGCCCAATCTCAGCGCAAAAAAGAGCTGATCGAATACCAGCGGAAAATTTATTCGCATCCAAATAAAATGCACTGGCGTGACTGCAATCACATTAACCTTTGAGATATTAATGTAAAGAAATGCACGAGTATTTAGACAGTATCACAAAACAACGAGAATTAAATACGATTAAGAAGGCGATCATTTTGCATGCTTCATGACGATCCATCGGCGGCCCCGCTACGGCGGGCGTTGTGGAAGGACGATCTGCCCACAGATCCGACGGACTTGCGTCGACAGCTCGCCGACGGATCCTCAAAATCAAAGTCCGCGGTCGAGCAGTAGTCGCCTGAATTCAAAATTGTTGAACATTTTATTTATCCCCTATTACCGGCGATGTCCTCAGAGTCCGGCAACAGCTCCAGCGATGGACTGTCGAATTCAAGGGCCGGTCGCGGTGCCTTGACGGCTTTTTCCAGGCGGGGCAAAGCGGTGAGGCTACGCCGAAGCCAATTTTTCCTAAAAGTGGAATGTTGAAGATGCTAAGTATAACCCACGAGCCCGAAAGCGGTGTGGTGAGAATGGCGCTTTTCACTCGATTCAGCAGTGACGGTCGCTTGGCTGGAGTGGTGGGCGTCATGAACGAGTCCTCCGGCGAAAATTTCGGCATCTCGGCCCGTTGATCATCCAGGCGCTGTTGGGACGTCTCCAGCAGGGTGAAGAAGTCATCGCCTTGGGGAACCGCTCGCTGCTTTCTCTGGACGAGATTTTTGCCTTTAATGGACTTTAATTTAATTTAAATTCTTAAATTAAATTAGCTTTTTCTTAAATTTTAAATTCAATTTAATTCAATTGAAACGACCTCTTTCGACTCGCTAATCACTGGCGCTTTCTTGTCGGTGGAGTCAAACGAGCCGTTGAGGGAGATAGCAGCTGGGGCGTCGTCAAAGGTGGCGTCCAGTACGATCCGGCCTTCGGAGACTGTCAAGTGGCCCGACTGCTTCAGCTCGCGGAGGCGATCTTGTGCCAGGTTGTACGCCGCCTCATCACTGTTCTAAATGCGGAAGATAACCGGGCCCGTTTTGTATTCAGAGCAGGATTCCTTACTTTTAGATCATAAACCACAAAAATCCGATCCCGGAAGAGTTTTGACAGTCTGACAGCGCGAAATTCAAACTCAGCGTACAAAACTGGCCCAGAAAACTTGTTATTCGATTAATCAGGAATCCAAATGGGTTCGCGAAACAACGTTCCAAACCTTCGCCAAACGTTGCGTGAGCGCGTAGAAGTAGGCGGCGCTGGGGTGCAAGCCGGCGGCCAGCTGCACATCTCCGAGCATTTGGCAGGCGTTTTGCTCGCCGGCGGTGTAGTCGATTTGCCTACAGAGGGCTTTCCAATTCTTCAGATAGGATCGCGCTAAAAAAATTCAATTTGTGGATATTCAGTTCTAGTTTGTGGATATTCGATTCAATGCTAGATTTTTGGTACCTTCGTCGAGGTCGCTCTCCTGGAAGCAAGCCGCCGCCAACGCCTCGTAATGGCGGGCCATAGCCAGCCGATCATTCAATTCCAAAGCTATGACCAGCGCCATACGGTAGCTGCTGAAATGGAGGATGGTTCAACGACGACAAAAATAAGCTTTATATTTTCTTATTCACTTACCGGATTGCATCCGTCGTTTGCCCAGTGGCCAGGTGGATGTTGCCCAACGAGGCGTGCGTCCTTCTCTGCGCTTGCTTGTCCCGGTCGCGTTCCGCAAGGCGTAAGCGCTGAAGTAACGCGCTGCGTATCACCAAAAAATTTCCCACCATGCCGTATAACCGCTTCGCGTCGTCGAAATTGGACAACAAATATTCGCATTCAGCCAAGTCGCCGAGGAAGCTGCCCGGGTGTGCTTGAATCTCTTCCGCGATCAGTAGACCCTCCTTCAGCTGCGCGATGGCTGTCTTAATACAATCGATGGCCGCCGAGCCGATTTGATCGTCGAGTGACTTCTTCAAAGAAAATGAGAAAATGTCTTCAACGCACCATCTTGGCCTGGTAGCCGAGAATCAGCTGCTTCCCCTTCGCCTTGTAGATATTTCCCAAACAGCTTAGCGCGTCGCAACGCAGCATCTGGAACAGACATAGGCAAGTAAGATACAATGGTCTGACCTGATCTTTGTGCTCTTCCGCCAATCGAATCGTTTTCTTCAAGTATTTTTTTGCTTCATCGGAACGAGCGTCGATTTCTTGTGCGAGACCCGCAATCTCGAAGCAGACGACAGCTTCGGTCCGCGTGTCTCCGCTGATGGCACATCGTTCACGGATGTTCTTTAGCATCCGGATGGCATTTGTTCTGGCGTCGAGCTTCGCAGCGTGATCGCTCTCCTGGCGGGCTTTTTCAGCGTACGCTCTTGCACACTAGAGATGGATGCAAAAAATGCAAGACAATAAAAGAACCTGACACGCTGTAGCAAAAAAGATACTTTTAGTTACCATTGTGTAAGCTTCAACAAGGAGGCTGCCATCGAATTCGGCGATGTCCGGGCCCTGGAGCGCGAGTCGAACGGCATCATCCGTGAAGCCTTGTTTCAGAAGCCGCAATACCTCAGTGTGTAGCTCGGCACACCTCGTCTTAGGGTCCGACATTCTGAAGCAAGCAGCCACGCGAACCCGCAAGGATGGCTAAAAAACTCAAGCAGGTATGTTTCTCGTCACCGACTTCCGCATCAAGACTATTCCCTCGGTTATTCAAATCAGTATCGCATCAAATCAACACGAAAGCGTCTTCTCCAGCTGTATCTCTAGAGGAATCAAGTGCTGTGACAATTGTTTAGGCTCATATGCGGTTAGTATCAATGTATTTTCCAGCGAGTTTATTAGTAATAACAATTTATTAACAAGAAAATTGACAACAAAAATTACAGCATAGAGGCTACCAACTTGTTGATCTGGTCCTCGCGGTTGCCAAAGTCACCTCCTTCGACGAAATGGTTGGTCTTCTTGGCCCATCCACCGTTGGGGTTGCTCAGCTTGAAGGGCCACAGGAAGTTGGTGGCGCGCTTGAAATTCTCCCCAACGTTGTAGATTTCGTGGACCAAGTCTTCCATACAGATGATGTCTTGCTTTCCTGAAAAAGAAAATTTATTATGGCAATGGCACCCTCACTCAGTCCGCAAGAAGCGGCGAGGTGCCCAAAGATTTTACTATCAGCCCTAGGCCAACAGATGCCTGACGGCCGTCCACCACAGTGGAAAGGGTACTTACTATCCGAAATGTCTGGATTCGACAGAACGTTCACGAATAGCACCCGGGGTTAGAAAATAATATCAAATCAGTAATACCGAGGCTTTCTTCGACGATGTCGTTGCTGGTGATGGGTGTCCTGCGGTGGTTGACCTTGGCGAAGCCGCGCTTGTAGACGAGATCGTGGACGGTCTTGAGCGATGGGTAGCCCCACGCGATGTAAGGCTCGGCGATTCGCAGCATCTGGATGGTGGCCTTGTTCAACTTGACGAAGACACCGTTGTTGATTTGGCGCAGACGGAGCAGCTGGAGGACCTAAAAAGAAAGAATTGAAAGAGCTGAGAATCCAAGAACGAGATGAAAGTGACAAAAGGTTACCTTGCGAGGGCGCGGGTGGAGCTGGTTGATACCGCGAATACGGATCACGAAGGCGAGCTTCGCTTCCTCTGGAACGTAGATGCTGCCCGACTTCTCGGCCTCGCGCTTGAGTCGGAGGTGGTCTTGCTGGCGCTTGCGGTACTCGGTGACGTATTTCTCGGCCCGCTTGAAGATCTTGCCGGTCTTCTCCTCGGCGCGCTGAAAAAAAGGGATTTACAAGAACGAAAGGAATCCCATACCTTGGCGGCCTTAGCCTTTCCAGCCTTGATCTTCTGGCGGATTTCCGCGCGCTGCTTGCGGCGCTTCAGGATGGTCTCGGGGACCTGGGGCAGCTTCTTGGTAACAGCCATGATGTACCCTGAAAAAGATGAATGTAATGAAGAACGAGAGTAATTAGAAGTTGCAATTAGGAAAGCGAGGTAAATGAGTTGTCAACAAGATCATTTTCGGAGAGGAAAGAACTAGAAAAAGAAGCTTAAAAAAAGTTTCAACAATACGGATTTCTGTAAGCCGCGAGAGCTTGGACTCCGCTGTCTAGTTTTTGGCGGACATGGCATTCCCAGAATTTCGATAGAGTAAACTTCAGAAAACTTCTACGATTTATACGGATGTGATAGTAGGCAACGAGATAGTCTCTCCAGATCCTCCACGATAGATATCGGTAAGAGTTCTAAGAATATCAAAGAAAGGCGCGATAGAAATAAAAAAGACGAACACAAATCCTTTCAAACTTTGAAATGGAGGAACACGAAAAATTCAGAAACTGAAATGAAAGGGCTCAAATCGGCCGGCGGTACCGTTTCGGCGGCAGAAAGCTAGAGTCCAGGGAGATCGTGTCGAGACCCGCGTGCCTTGTGGCTCGGTGACGCAGAGACGGTTGACCCGTGGTTCCCTCCCCCACCTGTGCCCCGTTTGACGAATTGATTTTTTTCACCAATGCACCTTTACTCTGCGCTAACCTATCGTTCTGGCCACTAAATCTCTCATCTCTATTTCATCTACAACTCCACCATTCTCGTCGTTAGCGTTCTTTTTCTATCCAAATATTGTGAAATTGATGACTCACCTGGTCTAACAAGCAATACCTCATGTTTTTCTACTTTAGACCCTTTCCACTAGCTTTTTCCTTCCAAATCTCCATTTTTCCAGCGCATCAAGTATAACCATCCTTTTTTCAGTCCGCCTTCTTCAACATGGGTTCTCGCGACGATGAATACGACTACTTGTTCAAGGGTATGAATCAGCAAGCTTGTTTTGATCGTCTGTCTTTCTTTAGTTGTATTGATTGGAGACTCTGGCGTCGGCAAATCAAACCTACTCTCCCGTTTCACTCGAAATGAGTTCAACTTGGAATCGAAATCAACGATTGGGGTTGAATTCGCTACTAGGAGCATCCAGGTGCGTCGTCTAGCTTGGTGTTTATCTTTTTTTTAGGTGGAAGGAAAGACAGTGAAGGCGCAAATTTGGGATACAGCTGGGCAAGAACGCTATCGGGCCATCACATCAGCGTATTATCGTGGAGCGGTTGGGGCGCTACTTGTTTATGACATTGGTTGGTTCGATTTCGCCACCTTCTATTTTCCTGTTTTTTTTTAGCCAAACATGTCACCTACGAGAACGTCGAACGCTGGTTGAAGGAACTCAGAGACCACGCGGATCAAAATATAGTCATCATGCTGGTCGGCAACAAAAGTGATCTTCGCCATTTACGGGCTGTTCCTACCGACGAGGCGAAGATGTATGCCGAGAAAAACCAACTGTCTTTCATCGGTAACGCTGTCTGCCTTTGCCCCAAATTTGGCTTTAGAAACGTCAGCCCTCGACAGTACGAATGTGGAAGCTGCCTTCACCAACATTTTGACCGAAATTTACCGATCTGTGTCAAATCGTGTAAGTTTCGTTTTCATTTCGAAATGTTGTACTTGGATAGAGATAGTGAACATCCGCTTCGGCATTTCGCCGGGATTACATTTGGAAAATAGAGCCGAGATTGCGAAACCTAAGCGCATTCAGAGTAGTACTTTCAAGCCGCCTAAGCACTCGTTGCGTTACCGATTTTGTATGATAGAAGCTTCATTTCTGTCAAGGGACCAAATTTGTTTTATCGGGATCTGAACGTTTCTTGATGCTCTAATCCCCTGCCATCCTTCCCTGTAGCCTGATTTCACTGCCAATTCCACCTTTTCAGCATGTCGGTGGTGATCGTCCTGCCGTTCCGCTCAGCAAAGGAGTCGACCTCTCTGATCGTGCGGCAGATCAACCGAAAAAGCAATGCTGCTCACCGTGAAAATACATGTGCTTTGATGAATTGTCCATTCCTCATTTTTCGCTGCATGAACATTTGTAAGATTGTCACTATAATATACGGCAACGGTTTTATTTATTGCAGAATTGAATAAATTTTCTGAACTTCAAGCTTTCCACACCAAATGACACTCGGATGAACCCAAACTTGGTTAGAATTTCTGGCACGTCGTGGTTCGACTGTTGAGGTGTGGGGCGCCTAATCTGCAGACACTACTAGGGGATGAGCGAGAGAAGAGGCCGTCCGCCAGCCAGATTCTCGCCTTCGTTATCGGACCAGACTGGTGAACGGAGAAGCGAAGGGTTAAAAGATCGTCGAAAGGTAGTTTGAGAGGCTAGTTGCTGACCAGACATTAGGGTGATGGACAACGTTCAAGCGAACGGCTGTCTGTACAACGGTCCGGCAAGTCGAAGAATGAGGCCCAGGGCTCCGTGGAAGTGAGGGACGGAAAATAGAAGCCAATTTCAATTTGCTTTAGATCGATGTCGTCAACTTGGGACCTGAAGAAGCTGCCTTTGTCCCACGACCACCGCAAAGTATAGGACGAAAGCGGAAGCGCCAGGAGCAAACAGTGGGAGTTTGGAAATGTTTATAGTTTTCGTGAAAGCTATGTATCTAACCGGCCTGTGTGCTCGATTACACGAGGGCTGTGTATATAGAAATCCACCTGGCTATTAAGATTAGTGAGCGGGGATTGCGATAGACAGAATAGCCAGGGCTTGTTAATCAAAAGAATTGAAAAATTATTCTTGCTTAGGCGCCCGCCATCAGTCCACAGCCAACACCGACCGACGAAGAATGCATAGATGTGGCAGGGACATCGCTTGAAGAAGAACAAGAGGACCATGACTCGTCGGCTGAAAATCCCCCGCAATTAGCTCCCGCGGAAGCCATCGAGGTTTTAGTACCCGATTTGCCTGTAATTGGATGATAGAAATCCGCTGCCTACGATGCGTTGCGCTCGATACTCCCCGGCCCCACACCTTCGGGAATAGCTGCCATACATTTGTTGGTATGTTGGAGAGCCGAAACGAGCCTATTAAAATTTAGCTGGAATCGACTCAGCCAGAGCAAACCGATTACGGCGACTACTACTTGACCGTTATACCCCGGAGATTAACCGAGTTCTATCGAAAGGAAAGCGTGCTAAATATCGTTGCCAACTATGCACTCGAGACGTAAGCGCTCCTTTCCGCACTGATCTTTTTTCAGGCGTGAACTCGGCTGGGTAAACCGCACGGCTCCGATCATCCCTCCATTTTCTGGCGAACCGGGAAATTATTTGTTTCTGGTCGACGGGTCGAAGCTGCCGCCTTCAGTGGTTTGAAAATTACGTGAAAAGCAAATTCTTTGGGCTTTCAGTTGAGGCAAGATGCTCTTTCACCGTGGAGCAGGAATAAGGACGAGATTGTAAATGGTGTGTATTGTTTTTGAAAGGCTTTTATAATTTTAAGAAACATTCATATATATTTAGGTGTACCCAAGCCGCACACACGATGCAAGCAACGGCATTTTCCGGTGGTTATGGAGACGGGCAGGTCCGGTGGGACTAGTGGGACAGCTCTTTCTATTTCAGATACCAAATCGCAGCGGGCGAACGGGCCCAGGAGGCAATATATCGGCTGCACGAATACACGGCCACCCACCCGCATTGTGCACGGCTGAAAAAGCGGGTGGGGCAAGCGTTTTATGCTTTGACTCCCCGGTCGTTTAGATATATTACCTCGAGCGTGATGGGACAGTTTTCGGGAATTACATGGTGCTCTATGAGTTCACGGGAACGGGCGGGTACCCGAAATTGACCAAGAAAATGGAGCACATGCTCGAGATGCTGAGAAAAGTATCGTTTAATTCAAATTACAAGCCGAAGCTTTAGGGTGACGAACTGCCTCTATTGGCATGCATCCCTGGGCAGGAGACCCGATTCGCACAAATGGATACAAGCGAGCAGCTCGACATTGAGGAAATGATCGAAGTGGATGGGGATATTGAGGGAGAGGTGCTTTATATAAAACCGGCCTTCTGGATCTGGGGTTCTTTCGCATTATCGGGGGGAAACATCTTTGTAACATTTAAAGTCGTATACAGGGTGTCCCAAAAAAAGCACCCCTCCGGCATTTCGCCGTATTACATCCCAAAAGTCTCAAAATTGGACTGGAGGTGTACCAGACCCTAAATAACCACAATCCTGAATTATAGCCCGATCGCTACAGTAGTTTTCGAGTTATCGCCAAAATACTGTTTTTTACGCGGTGCTTAACAGTTTTTTCGGCTATCTTTTTGGACTTTGCATCGAATTGCATCGACTTCCGGCTGCGAATCCCTAATTTCGCTTAATATCGGGGGTGACTTCGCGTTACAAAAATTGTTGAAATCAGCGGTTATTTGATTAATTTTAATCAGAAAAAATCTCTAGGGGTAAAGAAGTCTTGCCGCTTCATTTTCAACTTAATATTCGATGGGTCGATTCCGACGAAAACCATATGAATAACGGATAATAAAGTTTATTTTTGTTGTATCTCGAAGATTACTGTAGCTGGCGGGTTATAACTCGGGATTGTGGTTATTTAGGGTCTGATACACCTCTGGTCCAAATTTGGGACAGATCGGATGTAATACGGCAAAATGCCGGAGGGGTGCTTTTTTATGGGACACCCTGTAGTAACTTCATACAAAGTATTTACGAAATTTTGTGGTAGAATTTAACTATATTTCAACTACAAAAATCTAAAACTTTAAAAAATTAGAAACTTTGGTCATGTACGGCCATTTTTGTTCGTAAATTCTTTATTTGTTGTAGTTTTCAATAGAAATTTGTAAAGGTTTTGCGTTTAGGAATGGAAAAACTGTTTAAAAACATTTCCGCTATTTCAAATTTTACCCCTAAGCCAAAATTGCCCCCCCCCCCCGATAATGCAAAAGAGCCGTACCCGGAAATACAAGTTTTTAGCGGAACTTTATAACCACCCGACTTTTTAGGTGTTCATCGGCGAGGAAAGGCGCTATGCAAGTTCTGTCAATTATCAACCGTCACTCCCCGATCGTTCGGCATACCGGAAACCCGATTGGAGCAAGGAGCCGGTTCGAAATTTGCCGAATCTCATTGAACCGAATCTTTAGTTCGACGACCAAGCCCTGATTGAGATGGAGGATGGGGGCCGTTGTGTTCGTGCTTTCACGCCGGCCTGGGCTAAGGAAAAGGTGTCCCTGCTGAGGTTCTTGGTAAACGAGCCGGAGTCGATGTAAGACTATAAAACTGGCGCTTAGATTTTTTTAGAAAGCCCGAGTGGATATCCGAGCAGAAGCCGTTCCTGCCGCCGCTTGTCGAGCACACAACGGCCTTCGTCTTCTTCGTTGAGACGGGCAATATTGATTTTAGTGAATTGACGGCGGACGGTTTGGTGCCGTGGACCGGAAGTGGTTTGTGGTCAAATCCTGATTTCACTGTATCCTAGGTTGCCACTCAAAAACGCGGAAGCTCGGGCTAAAGAAAACACCGGACGGGTCTTGGACCGTGGAATCGTGTAGAAACTGGAGGCGCTATGATACGGTGCTGGTTGAGTACTCTTCGACGTTGGGCCGTTGCCCGCGGCTGAGGAAAAGGGTTCGTTTTTGCTTTTCTATTTTTGACATCTTTCCAGATATTTTACGTTCGCAGTCATGGGTTGCCAATTGGACGCTGTATTTTCTCGTACGAGTACCTGGAAGATGGGCCCATCCCAGAGCTGGACAGGGTACGCAAAAGATGGAGGATAATCAAAAATTCTATAAAAAATCGAGGAGAAAAATGTTTTTCAGGAATTTCTGGCCAAAAAGGACCGAATCGACAACATGCGAGTACAACGAAGGATCATTGAAAGAGAGAAGCAAAGTGGGCAAATGATACAGAATTCTAAGATTCTTCTAGATGCTCTGTTTCCCGATTATCTTTTGAAGCCCGACGAAATCGATCGCGAGTTTGAGCACGAGGAGGTTATTATCGGGAACAGAGGGATCGAGGTATCACTTTTCCGCACCAATCAGATTAACGGTTTGATTTTCAGATAAGACCAGTGGCCGTTGGCTATCGTGGGCTACAGGCCGGTACGTCAGCTGAGGGCTCGCAATGGGCTGAAGAGGATTTCCCGGGTTATGGAGGCGAGACACCCCTGGAGCTCGAGGTGCAAAAGTTTGCTTTTTGGAATGTCATTATTCCGGTTCTGAGCGTTCTGAGTTTTTTCTTAACGTTTTATAAATTATTTTTATAGGGTTTTAGTAGTTTTTCATAAAAAAGCATCATTTTTCAACAGGCTTGATCCAAAATAACAATTTTTTCGGAATTTTAATAATCTACATCGTCTTTCTGTACGTCAAAACCGCCTGAAAACTATATAAATAGTGTCTATTTTATTATCTCAGCACCTCGCGGGCTACCGGTTGAGCAAAACGGGCGATATCTGCGTTCGTATCTCCGGATCCAGCTAGCTTCTTGCAAAGGCCCACCCTTCTCGACCACCTCGTCAACGATGCGCAGAAATTGTGGGTCTTCCGCTTGGACAAAATTACTTTTCTAATAGGGCCGATATTGGGCTGGTGCAGGGCCGAAAGCCATCCATGGTGCCGTTGACGACACAAAACGGGGCCTTTGCCTTTTTCTTCAATTCGACGGCAGCTGATAGACCTGGGTTGTATCGCGATGCGCTGAGCCCTTGGAATAGCTCGCCGAAGGAATCTGGTAATTTTTTTTTGATCGACCACGAGAAGCTCGAAATTTTCAGATGAAAGTTCTTCGTCGACGAAAACACAGCGAGCCGCATTACGAAAGGCCGGAGATAGGCTTGTTGTGGCCGGGAGTATTCGGGTTTGTGATCCATTACTTTTCTTGTCATGTATTTCCTAGGAACGTTGCGACACCAGCGCAGAATATTACATTTGTGAGCACAGCGTAACACGCTTCAAATATCCAAGGCTACGCCGGAAGGTACGTTTTTGGGATCTTTTGCATTATCGCGGGGACTGCACTTTTTTGTTTGTCTAAACATGTCTGATAAATTAATAGGAAGTGAAGGAATTTTGAAAGCGTCGAAATTTGGTCGAAAAATAGATATTTTCGATATTTATTGTAAAGTTTTATGCATTTAGTAAAAACCGTTCAGAAACACTTCCTGCATTTATATTTTAAATTGGATCCTAGATTAAGTTGCCTCCTGCCCGATAATGCGAAAAAAAAACCCTTTTTTTGACCTAATACCGATCCAACCCTTTCAGATATTTTTTGTCGTCACGCGCGATGAGCAGTTAATAGCGAACGTCATCATTCTATACCTTTATGCGGAAAAAGGGGCCCTACCCGCCTTACCATCCGGCTCGACGCTTGCGAATGTCGAGGTGAAATGGCTTAACCGTTTGCAACTGTTTTTAGTTCGTCCAGATCTCGGAGGAGACGCCAATCTACGACCTGCTCGACGTGGTGGACACGATCCAGTTGATGCCAAACGCCCTCTTCGCCCGGGTGCTCGATACCAGGCTGCTGCACGACAAGCGACGAATTTTGGAGCTGGCCTTCAACCAGGCGGCCACTGTGTAATTTATCTAGTTTTGATCCAATCGCTTCCAGGTCGGAGCTCGGGCTGCTCAACGACAAGGTCCCCGGCATGCCCCCGCAGACTCAGATGACCGGGTGCTTCGTTTGCTTCGTCGACACGAAGTCGGGCGCGCTGGTTGATCAGCGACAATTGACCATCGACGCGTTGGCACCGTGGAGCGAAGGGCAACGAGGTCGGATCGGAGCTTCTGACCTGGATACAAACTTTTAGGCGCCGCCATCTTCATCCGTCCAAAATACAAGCGCTACCAGCTGTACCGCAGCAACGAGAACGCGCGTCGCCTGGAATTATGCTGGAACGCAGGGGAAGCGGCTGTCGAAGATAACGCCTCCGAATTTTCGCTTGTCGTCTATACAGCCACGCTGCCGCGATGTCAGCGCCTGAAGAAGCGGGTTAGATTTTTCCAGACATGGCAATCGGCCGGGCCGCGCGGCTTTTTCGGCCGAAAAAATTAGAATGCGGCCGGGCGGCGCGGCTTGGCCGCACTTCCGGCGCGGCCGCGGCTTTTTTCTGTTTTGAGGCCGCACGGCGGCCAAGCCGCGCGGCTTTTAAGGCCGCATCCAAATGGGTTTTGAGTACTTCCGGTATGCAAATCCGAGATGTAACGCGTTTTTAGCTTGCTAACGAGGAATATATATACTCGACCACCTTAATCTCTCATTTCCATTCCATTTCGCATGAAATTCGCGGATTTTTGGTATGTAAATGAGCCACTTCCGGTTTGCGGCTTGGCCGCGGCGGCCCGGCCGAGCCGCGATCAAAATGCGGCTCGGCCGCAAAGCCGCATTTCCGGAAGTAACTAATTCGGCGGCTCGTAGGGGGACGCGTTTTTATGGAAATTAGGCCGCCGGCCCGGCCGATCCGAATTGCCATGTGTGGATTTTTCTATTTTTCCTTTTACGTATTTTTCTAGATCTACTACGTGATGTGTGGGCGTTGTTTGGTCGGGAATGTCGTCATTTTCTACAACTACGAAATTCCCGGACCTCTGCCTACCGAGGTATGCAATACAATAAATTACGCCATTAATTGATAGGTGGCCCATGGAAATGTGAGGCGACAGTTGAAACCGGAAGTCGCGATTTGCCCATCCACGCAACCCCAGAATTTCGATTTCTACCGCCACCGCATCGACATACACAAGTTTTTCAAGGTCAGAATAAACGGTTTAAAACAACGAATTGGAAAATATTGATGTCTTCAAACATCTGGGTATCTAAATAAATAAAATCAATCAAAAATGCTATTTATTGTTTTTAGATGCTGAAAAATGACGAGCTGGCCGAGAAGGACGAGTGGAAAATTGAAAAACGAAACCCGGACCAAGCTGGATCGTCATCTGAAGAGCAGGACAAAATAGTAAGTACATTTTTAGTATCATTCTTCTATCTTCGTTTTTTTTCATGTAATTAAAGATTTCTTTATTAGCTATTTTTAATAATATTCTTTATGATTGATTTTTATATCTTTTTATCAACTATCATTTTAGGTGGCCCCACTGAACCTCGTCAACGCCGAGGTCCAGAAACGGGTGAACGCCGTCCTCGACTTTGCCGCCTTCCAGTTCAACTGCGGTTCCGAAAAAGAGGTTCGGAAGCGCTTCAAATGTTTATCTAGAATTTTCAGGTGCTAGACGTGCTCTTTCGCGTTCTGGTGCAGCGAAACGAGACGCACTTGCTGCAGAACGTGCGCGACGAGTACGGCATTGAGATTCTCACGCAGGAGGAACCGCTCGACGTCTCTGGCGAGAACCCCAAATAGTATCTTTACAATTCGTTGATCTCATTTTTGTTAGGCGAATAAAGCATGATCTCAGCACTTACACTGTGGAGTTGATGCACGATATTTATTAGTTGTCTAACGAGAGAATGATATCGCCATTCTCGTCAAAATTCAGGTCCTTGAACCGGGCAACGTTTCTCCGCTTTTCCACCTGGATTTGCTCGTACACCTTTCGGATGATGGGTGTGTAGAAAGGGTCCGCGATTTTTGCTAAATTTAAAGGGACTGGACTGTTAGCGGGGGGGGGGGAATAATTTTTGTTTTTAGCCTGTATCTACTTGTCGATAATATAATATTTTTATAGTGATTCGATAGTTTTTTGAATGCTAGAGAGTTACATACATAAAATTTTTGCCCCTTTTGGCTTTTACATAGATTTTTGTTCAAAAAGTCCAAAATGTTCCAAATTGTGATCATTTCACGATTAAACGTTTCCTTACTGAGCCATCCGGGATTCCCGCTATTCCCCCCCGCTAACACGCCAGTACCAATTTAATGATTTTAAAATTTCGAAAAACCCTTACCTTTCCGTTGCAGCTCATCGTAATAATCCCACTGGTCGTTGGCCAACATGTGATAGTGCCGGAATGGTCGTTGGCCTAATCGGCTGTATTTTTTTGATTGTTTCGCAGTTTTTTGGTTCTTACGATAGTTGCCTGTCCTCCCATGCATCCAATTCCTGTTCGCTAGGGACGTCCGCTTTCCCCTCGACCAAGGATAAGCCGTACAAAGCCTAAGGAAGGTTTACGAGTCAAAAAAAAAAAGTAGAAAAAGTGATGTCCACGCCCACCTGTGAATTGAATGCCGTGAAAAGCGCGGCGATGAAGTTGAGCCCCGGGAAAAAGAGCGAAGTCGGGTGGTGGCGATGGACGAAATGCTGGTAGAGCGGTTGAACGACTCGCCCGGCACCGACGACCTCCACCAAGCCCTCCGGCAAGAACGGGTAACTGAAACCGTATTGTTTTTGATAACATATATTGTATTCATGCAGCGTGTTTAGCGATTTTGACATTTTCGGCCATTTTTCATAAATTTTTGACCAAAAAGTTTAAAATTTTCTGTGATTTTTTTGTATCTTTCTATATCGAAAAGCTATGTAAGATGGTTGGTAGATATTTCGCTTTGTCGCCATACGGAAGTCCTTGGAAAAATTGTTTCCCACCCCAGGCCAGCAAACCTGCAATGGTAGCCGGTGCTGATGATGATGTGATCGACCTCATGCTCCTCGTGGATTGTCAGCACGCCCTTGGTAGTGATTTTAACGACTTTTTCGTCGATCTAAAAGAAATATCGAAACGATAAACCAGTTCTAGCTTGAAAAATCGATTTCAATGATTTCTCTCACCAACCTGCCTCATATTTGCCGGGAAACCGTGTTGCTGCTGCTCCTGTTTGCCGAATAATAGCACCTAGGGAAAGCTAATTTGTTTTAGACGGAATTCCCTGACCTCCTTGGCTACGTCAGCAACCTGTAGACCAATATCGATGCCCGAGAAGCCGGCACCGATGATGGCCACCCGAGAACCGCGGTAGGGCGTCGTGGTGCGGTAGTCGTGGCTGTGGATTAGCGAACCACCTTAAAAAATCAGGCTTAGAGGCGCTATTACATGTTTTATTCATTTTATATCAAAGTTTACGAGTTTTGGGGAGCCATAAAAATTAAAAACCCACCAAAAGCCGTTGTATCGAAGGGTTGATAGGGTAAGAAAAAGTGGCCGTTGCAGACGAAGAGCGCATCTACGACTGTCACTTCCGGTGGAACTTCTTTTGTTTTGCTGGTTACCTAAAAAGCGGAATTTTCTTGTTTTAGGTTGCATTTTACCTCCCAAACACCTTCCGCCCTTCGAACGCTTATCACCGCGGTGTCCAGCTTGACGGGGATGTCTTTGGCGTATGCTTGGAGGTACTGTAATGAAATTATAACCTTACAAGCCGACGAAAATTTAAAATTTAGGCGAAATTTAGCTAAGATCCAACTTGCAGTACATGCTGATGCTCGCAAAATGACGGAATATCCTTAGGAAACGGGAAATCCGGAAAGCACATCGATTCTTTTGAGAGGTTCACCCTTAAAAGAGGTATTGAAAATTTCTATATGCTAGTAATAAAACTATAAAACACTTTTTTCTAAAGAGGAATCCGTTAAAATCAGATGAATTCTTGCAAAAACGCACCTCAACACCTCGTACATACTGGAGTGCGTGCCGGTTTCCGGGCGGTAGACCCACGTGCCGCCGATCTGCTCGCACTGCTCCCACACCAAAAATTGAACTTTAAACGTTTCTTTTAAAAATCTTACCGTAACCTGATGGCCTCTGGCGAGCGCGTTTCGCGCCACACACAAGCCGCTCGCCCCCGCGCCGATCACCCCGATGTGTGGCATCGAAAAAAATAAAAATGACTTTGTTTTGCTACATACTGATATGTTTCTAAGGCGTTTGTTACTGTTTCCGGAGGTCAAAACGCCACATTTTGAAGTACAAAAATACACAATTTTCGACAAAAATCTAATTTTTAAATTGTTAGAGGTTTCCTGGATGGTTTTTGCACTTTAAGTCTAGTTAATTTTACTAAAAACACCATTAAAATACTTCTTACGTGATTAGAAATTTCTGGATGTTTAAGAAAAATTCGGAACTGATGGTGAAATAGAAAATGATGGTTTTTCTTCGAAACTACCGTTAATTTCGAGCCTAAAATACTAGCACTACTTTAAGGAGCCCTCAAATCGAAAATTTACGCAACAAAAATTACATAAAATTGATAGGAAGTGACAAAGATTTTAGACAAAACACGAAATTTGCTCGAATTTAAATTTAAATCACGATGTCTCACGAAATCACATTTAAATCATGCCAGCTGGACGGGCACGTTGAACCGAAAAAACGGAAGGCTATAAATAGTTGGTGGGCGCGATGATAACAGAGGAAGAAAGGAAGAAGGAAGGAGATTGTGAGAAAGAAAGGGATGTCGGCCCGGTTGAGCAATCTGTTCGTGAAATGGGCATGTATCTAGCATGAGTTCTATAGAGTCTGGATGCACTAACACTAAAAGAAGGCCAGCTTTGCTAGCAGAAAAAGGCTGCCGATGCGGGTGTAAGCTTTTTTAGATGGAAAATGGTAATTTTCAATATTTACGCTAGATAAAACGAAAAATTCGTGATGTCTTGCGCTGTTCAAGGTCAAGCCAAAACCTATGCTAAGCCTAAGCCTAAGCCTAACCTAAGCCCATGTGAACCTACGCCTAAGCCCTACAAGCCAAGGCTCAACCCTAAGCCTGCCTAACTAGGGAGGTATCTGAACTCGGCATCGAACTTTAAGAAGTCAGATACACCATTCGACGCGCCTTGTCGAGGGGGATTCCAAATATGTAATAAAATCAACCAGAGCGTATAACGGTAAAAAGTTATGAGCATTCAAAGTCGACAAAATGGTGAAAAACAGTATCTTTGAGACCCTGTATCATCCCGCGGAATGGAATTTAGTCTAAACTGATTGGTGCTCCTTATTCAACAAAGAAAGCTCTTTCAAATGAGCCATGTTACATACGGCTGCCAAAAATTTCCGTAAAAAATATTTTTGCAATGCGGCGTAAGGGTAGGGTATCGCCAGCTAGCCGAAGACGTTTCGAGAATTTCGCGTAAAGCCTATGTAAGATAGCCCATTCGAAAGGGAATTTTCTGCTGAACAAGATGTACTGTTCTGTTTTCGACAAATTACATTCTTCGAATTCGTACAGAGTCTTAAAAGGGCGGTTTTTGATGATTGTGCCAACTTTGATATAGAGAGCGTCCAATCCTGGTCTTGTTGCCCGAGGTTATTTTATCATCGCTGGTGCCTTTTAGGGGTCACACAGTCATGAAAAACTTATTCCCGAGTTTGGAAATGCAAAAAGTAGGAACTGGTCAAAAAGCAAAAAATAAAAATCGTGAGTGGATCCGAACCCTGGTCGTACAGACCGGAGACCCATGCGCACACCACTAGGCCACGGGGCCGATGAACAGGGTGCGCTGGGAGGGGCTCATCTCGCCGCGGCGGTTTTCGCTGCAAAACTTAAAATGCTCATAACTTTTTATCGTTATAGGCTCTGGTTGATTTTACTACTTTTTTGGAATCCCCTCGACAAGGCGCGTCGAATGGTGTATCTGACTTCTCAAAGTTCGATGCCGAGTTCAGATACCTTCCTAGTAAGTCTAAACCCATCCAACAGCCTAGGCCTAATCCTAAGCCCAAGACTAATCCTAAGCCTAAACTCCTAATCACAAGACTAAGCCTAGCCTAAGCCTAAGCCAAGCCTAAGCCTAAGGTTAAGCCTGATCCTAAGCTTAACCTAACCCCAAGCTCAGCCAATCTAAGCATAAGCCTAAGCCTAAGCCGCAGCCGAAGCCTAAACCGAATCCCGAGCCAACATATGCCTAAGCTTAAGCCTAACCTAAACATACGCCCGGGTAAGCATAAGCCTGAGCAGAAGCCTGCCTAAGTCTAAGCCTGAGCCTAAGCCCAAAAACAAGCCAACCTAAGCCTAAGCGAAGCCCATGCGAACCTACGCCTAAGCCCTAAAAGCCAAGGCTCAAGCCTCAGCCCTTATTACTGGCCATTATTAGTCGCATCCAAGTCCCTCAAACTTGCTCCAAAACCTCGCTTTTTCTTGTTTCTATTCCATTTCTCGAAATTCCCCCCCTTTTCGAGTACCCCCACCCGCGCCGCGACGAGATCCACCCAATGAATAGCGGGGCGCTTTTGCCGAGCTTTTGCCCCGCGTTTCAGCGAGCTTTTGCCGAGTTGAATGACTGAGCACGAACGGCGTTGAGCATGAATGAATTCTGCATCCCTCCATATTCATCATCAGACATTTTGGAGGTGCTAGTGCAAGGTTTTGCAACTTTTTTGGTGCTTTCAATTATCAGGAGACACCAATTCCCCCCCCCCCCCCCCCCCCCGATAATGCAAAAGAACCCTCTTTTTGCAAGTAAGCTT